GGGGGGGGGGAGAAAAGAAGAAGAGGATAGGAGAAAAGAAGAAAGGGGGGGAGAAGAGGTAGAGCAAGGCCTAGGCAGTGCAGGCAGCAGGCAGCAGGCAGCAGGCAGGGTAGTTCGAGGCAAAAGAGGTTCAAAGCCATGAAACTGGTGCAGAGGGTTTCGGGGGGGATTTGAGCCTATAGTTACGTCCTACGTCGTCCTCAACATCGATGTCCTTGTAGTACAGCACATAGCTCAACGACATACACATACACACACACGCACAGACAGGATACCGGTAACTATACTTCCAAAACTAGTCTGGATGAAGGAAAGATGTCAGCTATGATAGTGAACAGTATAGAGAGAAACAAAAGAAGCAGAAGCAGAAGAAGAAGAAGAATGATTTATACCAGGAAGAGAGAGGGAAGCGAGATGATGTCGTCGTGTCTTGGCGAGGATGTTTAAAATCTCAGGTATACCCCTGGCTGTCCAGCTCTCCCCCTACCTCCCCTATATGTACTGTACTCAAAACCAAAACTCACCGAAAAATCCTCCATGAAACTCCTCATTGATGCAAATATCCCCGCCTCTCCGAACACTTGGAAGGTGGGAATTTCTATTTTGATTTTTATTTTTTTATTTTTTTATTTTTTTAATCTTTTGTTTTTCTTTCTCCCTGAGCGTATAGTCAGACTGCGACCATCAACACAATCATAGCTTCCCGTCGTCTCGCATTCCACTCAGTATCCCTTCACGTCCCAATCAAAACCACCTCTCTGTCATGCCTGACCAAATCGTACTTAGCTTAGTCCCATCACTCTCAAGTCAATCCTCCTTCGCCCAAAAGAGTCATTTAAGCAGTAAATTCCCATCTCTCTGTAGAATACGCTCATGATTTGGAAAAAGAAAAAGAAAAAAGCAAAAACAAAAAGGTCGTCCACCGACAAGCATCATGATGATCAAGGATGAAATATTTCCTCCCAACCAGCAATCCTGATCATCAAAAATACGCTGGCTGGCTCAAGTCTGCGCCTCTGTTTTCGAGTATACCTATGCGAAAGTTTTACGTCCGTCCGAACATGTCCGTCCGTAGGATTTGAACGAGGCGATTAGACTCTCAACTCAACTTCAATGACATGCGAATCGGCCGGGGAGAGAAAGAGAGCCCACAATTGGTTATAGCGTATGCACGACATTCTAGGACGATCGCGGTCTTGAACGAATAAGCGGCTGACAAGTGGAGCGAGGAAAGGTTTGATTGGAAGTGCGGCTTCGGATAGACTATAGTTGAGTTGCTGTCGTCGTCGTCGTTGTCGTCGTCTCCATCATCCATGCATCACTACAGCAAAATGCAAAAATCCATCCGTGTACGCCGCTGCCTTACCCAACTCATCCAGTCGAGCAGCCAACGGCACCGAAGCCCCATGCAACACTGGCCTCGCATAGATAGGATTTCTCCGACTGGGAAAGATTGTTGGCAGAACACTGTTCAGTGCAGTTCCCAATGTCTGGGGCTGCTTCGAGGATTGTAGTATGGGAATGAGAGCTTGCACGACTCGCAAATGGCCAGCTGTGGCTGTTTCTGTCTCTTCTTCTTCGATCGCTTCGGCAGCACCAATACTCCTGCCTTTCAAGATGGTCGCAGAGGTGGGTAGATAGACTTTGAGTGGGACATGTCGTAATTCCAGACCAGGTGGGCTGAGGAGTTTGTTGTTGATGGAATTGAATAGGGCTTTATCATCTGTATTACCATTAGCAGGGCACATGCCGATGTCAGTGATCCTGAACGTACGATTTTGAACAGCCCGCCACAGATTTTCTGAATCATCTTTACTGAGCGACATTACCGTCCTTGCAGACCCGTTTCTGACGAAATCTGCTTCCTTGACAGCATTCACATACGTGTCTCGCATCGTCCTGCCCTCTTCATCCAGCTGTATGAGCTGCTCATCGGGGAAGTCTGAGTAGTGTATAACCAGTTTCCACGGTATTGTGGACACGGCAGCGCCACTACTAGGCAATATGGACGACTCTTCGGGGTTCGGCAATCCCGGAGGATCGAGATCAAAGGGCTCAGATCCCGAGAAGAGGTCATAGAGTAAGCCCAGGGGGTAATGCCATTTCATCGGCACGCCTTCAAAGGAGATCCAGGCATTGTGAGCTGGGATTTCGGGAGTGATGAGACTTGACGCAAAGAAGGCATGAAGTCGTGGCAGTAGAAAGCCAAGATACGACAATCGAGGATACTGAACCAAGTACGGCTCCGACTGGTCATAGGTCCTGCAATCTGATGCTGCGAGCCGGATTTCGAGGGCTATAGAACCAGCCCATATCTTGCTTTGCAGGGCGGCGATAGTGCTGGCAGAGGCGGGCATTATCACGGATGTCCTGACAGTATCCGGTGATGGTGAAGAGGCTTCACAAACATGGTGATGTGATTCCGACACAGTGAAGTGTCGTGTTTGTGAGTGAAGGTGTTACTGTTGTGGACCGGAGGGAGGGGGGACGAGAAGGAGACAAGTCGGTGGTCATCGGGGCTTGGCTTGCCGATTCACATGGTTCCCATCTGAAGCTCTCACCATACCAAACACTAGACTACATGTACCTCACCACACACATCCCAAACGACCAACCATGTCTACTTCCCTCCTACAACCCCCTACCAACTCCAACCCAGAGACGGCGCTCTCTCAATCCGCCAACGCCGAAGCCTTCTTCAAATCGCAAAAATCCTGGTATCCTGCCCTCCCATACCCACTCTCCCTCTTCTCCAACTCCGAATCGCAAGAGAAATGGACCACCTACGAAAACCTCTTCCTCTCCTGCCTCCGCACCGGCCAAAACGACTCCGCCCACCTCTGTCTAGAAGAACTCACGACCCGCTTCGGCCTCACAAACGAGCGCGTAGCAGCCCTACGAGGACTCTGGGCCGAAGCAACAGCCACGAATCCACAAGAACTCGAAGATGTCATGGCGCATTATGAAGAGATTCTGAAAGAAGATCCCGCATGTTTCGCCATCAGGAAGAGGAGGGCTGCACTTCTCAAATCCATGGGCAAGACGAGTGAGGCGATTGCCGCGTTGGTGAATCTCGTCGATACCAATCCCACGGATGCGGAGGCATGGAGTGAATTAGCTGAGATGTATGTGCAACAAGGCATGTGGGAGCGAGGGAAATTCTGCTTGGAAGAAGTGTTGCTTCTTGCACCGAATGCGTGGAATCTGCATGCGAGGATGGGGGAGGTGACGTTTTTGAGCGCGAGCGGGCTGCAAGCGGGAAGTGGAGAGCAGCTGAAGGTATTGAGTGAGGCAATGAGGAGGTTCTGCAGAGCCGTTGAGTTGTGTGACGATTATTTGAGAGGGTACTATGGGTTGAAAGTGGTGAGTGTTTGTTTTTGAGCCTCGATGATCGAGGAGCTTGTGCTGACTGTTTAAATCCTTCGCAGAGCACGACACGATTGCTCGAAGTGCTGGCGACAACGAAGAAGGGCCAATTGACGACCTCGGATTCTCAGGCTGGCGATCTTGCTCCGCCGAGCATTGAGACTGTGAAGAAGCTGAACGAGTTGGCGACTGCAAAGCTTGCTGAGATTGTGCGGAGAAGCAAATCAGGGGAGAAGGGTTGGGATGGATATAATGCAGCTGAGATTGCTGCCGCAAGAGCACTATTAGACAAAGACGTGCAGAAGATTGCCAGATGATGGGATCTGCGAGCATGAGTGCAGGATATAGACCAAGATACCCCATTGCAATGACTATAATGTAATGTTACAAGTGGCTGGTAACACGCCCTACTGTTGTGGTATCTCCGTTCGTGAAGTTCATCAGATCTATATCCCTCCCAGTTCAAGTCCCAGTCCCAGTCCCAGTCCCATTCCCAGTCCAACAACCAGTCCAACTCCCAGCTCTGAAACTCCTTGCTTCCGACCACTGTAATCAAGAAATGGCATGCGCAAACACTTTCTGCGCCAGCTCACTCAACAACCTCATCTTCTCCGGCTGATCCAATTCCTGAAAAACACTATACACACTCTTTCCCCTCTTATCCCTCACCGCACCCAATCGATTCCCCGCGACCGCACCCGCAATCGCACCGGGGAAATTCCCCACAATGAACCCCATCGCTCCACCCGACACACCGCCCACAATCGACCAAAACGTCTTGGTTGGCCGATTCTCTGAGTCAGCCATGTCGTTGTCTCGCATCATCTCCTCGAATACAGATCCGAATTGTTCGTTACTGAATCGATTCGCGTCGCCTTCGGTTTTGGCTTGTCCGCCAAACATGTTTCCAAACATGTTGAAGAACCCGCCTGCTGCGCCACTATTTGCGCCTTCTTCCGGACGAGGAATTTCTTCCTCGTCAAAGCCAAAGCCTCCGGGGGTGTTTTGGTGATTTTGTGCATTCTGTCGAGATTGGCGCGTGTTGGATGATGCTCCTCCTCCAAAACCGTAAAAGTTCGTTCGTGTGGTGTCGTAGTCTCTTCTACGCGTGGCGTCGGAAAGAGTGTAGTATGCGTCGTTGATTTGCTGAAATTTCTTGGTTCGAGTCTGACGTTCGGGTGAGTCTGCTGGGACGCGATCGGGATGATGTCTGAGAGCTGCCTTTTTGTAGGCATCTCGGATTTGTTGTTGAGTGGCTTTGCTGTCGATTTCGAGAGTGGCGTAGTAGTCGGCTGGTGGAGCGGACATGGCGACAAGTTGATGGTGGAGGTTTTTTTGGTGAAGAGAGAGAGAGAAAGGGAGGAGTACACGTAGGGGTGGCAGATGCAGATGCAGACAACAGGTGTTCCCGGCACGAGCAACATGTGGAAGCTCACATCATTCACATGCGATGACGTTTCGCGTTTCTAGACCCTGATCAGTCAGTGGAGTGGGAGTGGTCTCTATCTACGCCACACAATCCCCTCTTCCGCTATCACAACTAGGAGGTACATATAGGAGGTAGCATTGGCTTGGCTCTGGCCTCATGCTCACACACTCGGGGATTCCTCGTGCTCGTACTGGTCTGGTGATGGCTGATGGCCTATTCTTGTAGCCGAGCCAAAGTCGCATGAGCATGTCAATATTCTGACGCTCCGAGGACGGTCATAGGTATAAAGCAAGCTATTAATCGGGCGACCTCCTGATACCAGGGGTAATGCATGCCACACCGATGGAGCATTATTCTGACAGAGCAACTGATGTGATTTCGAAGTCCTCCAAATGAGCGTGCAAGACGTTCCGGAGGTGTTTTTACATCCAATAAAGGTACGACGAAGGGATGACTGAAGTTTGTGTTGCAATTCACGGGGTATCTGCCTGCATGACTCTTCCATCTTGGCCTCCTCTGGGTGCTATCTGTGAGGCAGCAAAAAAGACTGAAAGAAGCCACCACTTCCTCCCTCTACGCCTGCTTTAGTCAATGCCAACATGTCTGCGCTCCTGCATTCCTCAAACGTGGCCTTGAAAGAGGTGACGGACATCGCCCTGAACTTGCCGCACTTCCGCACATAGTCGAGGGGCACATTTAGATGTTGCCAATCTCAGCCACAAAGTCGTCCAGTTCCTTCTTGGTATCGGCATATTTCTTGGCCATCTCCTCATACTTGGTCTCCCACTGGCCGGTGGATGCCTCCAGTGCTTGGACCTTTCGCTCATAGTGACCGGCCTTCAGATCTGTCTGGCGAAGCCTGTGTCATCTCATGTCAGCAATCTCGTTTCCACATAGACACAAGTCTCGGCAGTTTCCCACCCAGACGTCCACTCATCCCACCACTCCAAGGGCACCGACTGTGTTACGTACTTCTCGTTTGTCTCCCGTAGTTGCTTGTCGTTCGCCTCGGCCTCCTCCTCAAGCAATTGCAGCTTCCTCGTCAGAGCCTCATTCTGTGTACCGTGCTGTGCTGAATCGTCTGCCGCTGACTTGGCCTCGCCGTGGAGCTTCTCCAGCTTCTCAACCTCCTGCTCGAGCATGGAATTTTTGTGTTGCAGAGAGGTGATTTCCTGCTCCTTCTGGAGGTTCTCCTGCTCGAGGGCCTTGACTTTGGCCGACAGTTCCTCAACCTTTCCAGCAGACTCGTCGGCCTCGATGCGCAAGGCATTCATGCGCTGCGGAAGTAGTCATTGTCAGCGATGGTGGTAAAGCAGGGCTATGTTTCAGCTTCTGGATGAGGGGCAGCGTGGAAGCGGTAAGACTACCGTACGGACCTTCTTGATTTGATCCATGGTTGCTGTTTTGTGAATGCGAACTGGTGCAACGGGTTGTGGTATTTGAAAGGCGGTATCTGAAGGTAGCGGGAGGAAGAGAGTGCAAGTGGTCGTGGGCTTTGAATGTTTGATCTCACAAAGAGTAAGCCAGTGTGACTGCCTGCCTGGTGAATAGCGAGACACTTTGACAGGGTTCAAGGGGCAAGCGCGGCCGAAGCTTCGTCTCCACGTTTGTTGACAAACCATCATAGCAACCACAACTTCCACCTTCTTCTTCCTCTTCTTCTTTGTCTACTTTCTTGGTCTTCCACCATACCACTCACGACACAGCATGACTTGAGGGAGAAACACAGAATAAGGAAATCATGTTTGCCGCACGCAACCTGGACGAGAACGCGATCAACGCCCAGCAGCAAGTCGCCGCTGCCAAACCACTGAACCAGAGCGTTCGCGGTCTTGCGCCCAAGACTCCCGCAAACAAGCCTGCCTTCAAAACGCCAGCACGAGGCAACCAGAATGACGAAAATACGAAGCTAGACTTGGGTAAGACGGGAGGAAAGGATGGCAAGTTGGATCGCAATGCATTCGTGACCCCCGCCAACAATCGCGTGCGAGCTCCTCTCGGCAACAAAACGACCAACGCCAAAGCACTCCAGACCCCAGCTCTGCAGCTGCCTCCAGAAGATAAGGTCAAGGGCAGTTCCCCACGACTTCGTCGCTCGAAGATCAAGGTTCACGAAGCTCTGGATACTGCCCATGATGTGCTCAATACACACCCAGAAGAGCGCGCAATCGAGTACATGCCGCCGCGTGAAGTGCCTCTCAACAATGACCCAGACGACATTCTGCCTCTTTCCATGAATCTCAATGCGCTCAAGGGAAAGAATCTGACCAAGGGATGGTGGTCGGAGTACAGTGGCAAGGGAGAAAACGACGAGGACAGTGAGCTGAGCGACTTTGAAGAGAAGGTGAGGAAAGCCGAAGCCGAGCATAAGAAACGGGATACACAGAAGTCGAAGCCGGTAACGAAGCCATTTGCTGGCAGAGCTGCCACAGCTGGACCTACAAAGTTTGCGCCCACTACAGTGCAAGCGCGAAAGGCCGCTTCAGTACTCAGCAGCAGGCATACCACGAAAGCCGCAGTCCCAAGCTTCACTGCACCAACAGCAATGGCCAAGGCTCGTCTGGCTGGATCTATCATGCCTGCTGGACGGAAGCCTGCCCCTGCTCTGGGCAACTCTCGCTTTCCAGCTGCAAAAGCAGCATCGAACAGTACAATTGGGTACTCCAAGGGTAGATCTGTCTCAGCGACCACTCGCCCGCCTCTGTCCAATCTGTCCTCTCGACCGCAAGCGAAGAGCAAAGTCGAAGAGCCAAATAGAGGAACTCTTGATGATTTGGCCGGTTTTGGGACGATGGATCTGGATGATGATGAAGATGGCGATTTAGGATTCGGTGTCAATCGCAGTGGCTTGGACGTACTGCTCGACGACGACGAGGAGGAGCTCTTCCAGCTTGATCCCGTGGAAGATCTTTGATTACGTCTTTCCTTTGTACTCCTTGTATTGTTTGACATGGCGTTTGTAAGACCACGGGATGTGGCAGGCAGGTTATACCACAGTTTGAATAGCGCAAGTATCTTTTCTGGCGATTGAATACTAGAACACGTTCGTTACCAAGGTCACATGGCTTTATGGGAGCTTGAAGACAGATTCCACATTACGAAACATGGCTAACAGATTTTATTGATGTGACAGAGAACAGCGCTAGCTATGGGAGAAGTAGCGTCGCGCTACTCGCACTCCACCGTATCCTCTCGAACTCGCGAAGAACAGGTGTCAAATCGGTAGCAAAGACAATTATACAGCAAAAACGACGAAATTTCTAACATCTTGATCTAGTCCTCAACGCCACTCTTTGCTACCGCCCCGACAATAAACTCCATTCACACTGCCCCTTAGGGTGAACGGACGATGTTTGCTTCCTTGGGGGGAGAATCTCCCAGACGGGAACAGCTCTTTCACAATGCGAACGAAGCAAACCAAGCCTATATGTACATATAGCAGTTCAAATCGTTTCTTCAACCTCCTACTATTGCATCAACAACTCACATGAAGTTACCCAAGCTTCATAGGAGGGCGAAGAAGCAAGGATCGATTACTGCAGCTACAAGAGATGGAGAGCATCAATTGCTCCACCCAACTATCATTGAACAAGCAAAACCTAAACATTTTCACGAAGCAGCAGTCAGAAAGATCCCTATACACAAAAAACCAGCACCGTATATTAATACTCACCTACCGGACACCCAAGCAATCGGAAGCAACGGAAGCATAGGTGGCTGACTGTTTACTTTATGGCACCTCTACGGAGCCAGAAACGACTGAGGCCACTTACCGCAACGAGGTGATGTGCCACGTTACTCGCCAAACCGTGATGCGGAACATGATAAGAACGAGTTTTCGAGTATATACCCTCCTGTATACCACCGAACCAAAAGGAAAAATATATATTTCCGATCAGAAGAACTCAATCAATCATCATACAAAAGGCCAGAAGGCCTTGCTGAATACACACGCTGCTCTATACCCCCCCAAAAAAGGAGAAATATACGCAGGTCGCGAGCAAGAAGGACACAGTCGGCTAAGTGTCGAAGAGACAGAGTAAGGAGGATGCTGTCGATGCAGAGAGCCCCTCCCTTCAGAACTCCATTGCAGAACAATAAACGGAAAGGGGAAGCTTCGACTAGTTCTTCAGACATGAGAGCCTCAAGAACTGGAAAAGGAAATTGATCGGTCCGCGGCGCAACTTGTCAATTGATGCAGAGAGATCATGCTCGCGTAGGTCGTGCGAGGCCTATCACTCCGAATATAACTCAGGATCGATCCTCTCGCGACAATACAATCCCATCCGATCCAATACGGCCGTTAATAGTGCCTGGTTTCATGCACCCGGCAAGGTTCTAAGATACTCTCATAGATCACGACTTGGCGCTGCTGGCATATAGAGAGAATATGGCGATACCCGATTCACCTAATCCCTCTGGCTGCGATACGATCGGATTATATATCTCCTGCTCAAGGGGAACGCCTTTGTCAGGCGGAGACTACCCGCAAAAAAAAACATGGAAAAGCGGTCTACACGCACAATGGGAGAAACGGTTGCTTGCAGGCGTCTCATCGCCTGCCTGCCTCGCCTGTCTGCTGTCTTTAGCATCAATCCAAGACCGCAAAAGAGCGAAATCCGGTGGTTAGGGATTCGAGAACTATATCAACCAAAATTGTGAAAGAAAGTATAAGGTATACATACCCACATCACCTCAAGCATTCTATAAATTCATTCTATCCATCCATCCTCTGGCAAGAAAAAAAGGAGGGAGGAAGAACGAACCAGACCGGAAGAGATACGTGCGCGCTGCGCGCTCTGCAAGCCAGGAAGCGAGATCATTCCTCGTGAGGGAAATTTCATAGCGTCCTATGGCTTGCAACAGGGGAAGACCAGGACGAACAATCAGATAGTCGACAGCGACCAAGAGTTCGAAATGTACGAGCCAAGGTCCCGGCGAGAACGAACTCCAAGCAAGAAGAAAAGATGGCCGAAGAAAAATATGGACGAAGCGACGTACATTGAGCGGTACCTCACCTCATGGATACCTCATACTCTCACTTTTCTATCGCGCTGCGTCTGTTTTCTTCGTTCTTCAGTTCTCCTCCAAGGTGCTAGTTGATGCGAATGGCGTGCCTGATTCCTGCCTGCGATAGCATTATGGTCCCGGGCCGCAAGAAGAAGTGCTTTCGGTGTGCGAAAGGGCGCCACGCGTGTGAGCGTGTGGTGGACCTAGAATATCTCCCTTCACTAGCATCAAAACGACAAGAATCTATCTACGGCACACCTGCTAAGAACTTGTTGGAGAGAAGGCAGGCGGTAAAATGTCCTGGTAACGTCAAGCTACCTACCTACGAAAGGTACATAACCAACTAAGACGGGTCCGACAGATCCACTTACGAGGCAGCATTGTCGACAAGGCAGACATTCCACTGGTAGCAGCAATATGCCTCTTTAACGTTCCATTCCTTCTTTCTCATCTCTCTCTCTTCCGTCTCTACCCAACTTGGAGCAGATTCTTTGGGTCGGTGCCCGGAGTATATATATTATCGGAAGAGGAGGGTAATCGATACCACCAGCGGAAAAGAAGTACAGACGAATTCTTGCGGAAGGAGGAAGGAAGGAACTTGAGGAAAGAAGGAAGAAGAGTAGTGGGAATCAAAAACAACGGGTCTCATTGTCAGTCCCACTTTTCCTACATACATAAGCTGCCTACCTCCTTTGCTAAGCTAGTAGCTGGCTGGCTGGATGTTTTTTATTTCGCAGACAGAGAGCTAATCGGGAGTGGAGAGACGCGGGGCAAAGGGAAGCCAGTGCTTGTGGTGGAGGACAGTGATGATGATGGGGAGGGAGAGGAGGGTGGAGAAGAGGGAGAGGAGGGTGGAGAGGAGGGAGAGGGAGAGGACGGGGAGGCCATGGCCGTCCCAGGTGCTTTGAGCCAACCCCAAAAGTGGACGTGGGAGGAAACTCTCCGTAAACTGGGAGCAAGACGAAGGAGATGATGAGCTTGAATTTCACAATGCCGTCGCCATGTGAGAGATCTTGTGGCATGTACGAAATCATGGGAAACGATTTCGTACATGCCACAAGATCTTCTGATACGGAGACGATTCAAGGTATTCCAATAAAAAGACTGCTTATACTAGAGCATTGTGGCCAATCTCGAATAGCCTGCAGTCCTCTCGACGAGTAAAATGTGTGATGGCTGACAGGAGCAAGGCCCTTCTCACAGGGAATGCTCGTTGATAAATGCCTCCAGCTCCTCGTTTTCAGCTTCCCACACAGCCCTTTGCTTCTCCATCTGTTTCTTATCTTGCTCATATTCCTCGGCCTGTCCCACGAGGTCTTTGTAGTACCCCTCAGCTTCAGCAAGCTTGTCCTTCGTCTTTCGTTTGAAGAGCTTCTTCATTTCACGGTAATTCTTCGTTCGTTGCTTCTCCTCCTGCTCGATCATAAACTGGGTCCGGCGATGAGATTCGTCCATCGCCTGCTCGACGACATTCTCATTCTCAAATATCGTCGTAGATAGCTGCTGCGCAAAGCCCACCATTTGGTCAAAGAAGCTCAGCTGGTGGGGCTTGAGAGATGCTGTCCACGCGGCCAGGTCGTCTGAAACGTCCCTCTTGACATGCGAAGCAAGTGGAGATTCCGCATCAAGTCCAAGCCTCTTGAGCTTGTGGGAGACCGACTCATCATGCTCAATCAGCGTCGTGCCCATGATTTCCTCCTCGTCGGCAGATGAAGCACGAATGTCGCGGCGGCCATGCACGTCCTGATCGAGAAAATCGTCATCTGAGGAGGCCACTGGAGTGTTTTGACCTTCTTGCTCTTCAGCATGAGTCGCAGGCTCAGATTCAGAGGAATCGCCGGCAGTTGGATAAACTTTCGCTGCAACAAACTCCCTGGGGGTCGTGAAAGGATCCTCAAGCAGATCAGTAGGATTAATCCTCTTAAGCAGCTTCTTCGACTTGGAAGCAGTGATATTGTGACAAGTGATGGTGGTGGACTCTGCTCGAGGCGAGGCTGGTACTGGCTTTACATTGCTCGATATGATACGCTGTTCTTCGGGCTGATGACGTTCCAGTGCAGTATGTTTTTGAGAGACCGTCGGCTTGAATTTTAGTGGTGGGTCTACAATTTCATCATCAAATTCGTCTATGTTGGGAAAATCGTCATAATGCTGGGCTGGTGCAGGTTCTGGGAAGATTGCAGGTGTATTGGACTTGGGGTAAAGCTCATTCAATGCCTGGCTGACACTATTTGCCACGTTGCTGGACTTTGCTCGCCTTGCAGACTTGTCGGTACGTTGAGTTGTGGCAACAGAAGAGGGTGCCTTTCTGCCGTTGAAAGATGGTCGTCCATACCGAGTTCCAGGGGTGACACGTCCCGGTCCCGCAGCAAAGCCCTTTGATGGCGGCATGGACAAGCGTCCAGGCTTGATACCCGGTGTTCGAACTGCGAGGATGCCCTGGTTGCGTGGACCTTTCTTTCCAAACACGACGATGTTGGCCTTCCTCGACGATGGCAATCTGGTATTGAACATGACCGCATCACCACTTTCGACAAAGTCTTTCGTAACCGGAGAATTTGATTGTATAACGGCTGGAGTCTTTGGTAGAGTAGCATGAGGTTGACCAGGAGCTTCGGGTGCTGGACTAATCGCCTTCGGATTCATGTCTTCGGGCACTGGACTAGATTCATCGTGATCAGAGATGATGACAGCATCGCCCTGCGTCCCACCAGACCTGGGTGTCTTCGTGGGTGGCCGGCTCTCTTCAACCTCCTCTTGCTCCAGCGCCTTGCGCTTTTCGCCAACGACTTCGCCGCGTCTCTCTCTGAGCCTAGCGAGCGCGCCACGATCTCTCGCTTCCGTATGAGGCAGCTTGGGCACTGTCTTCTTTGGGAGAGCCATGCCTTCTGTGTGACTTTCCTTTGACAAAACGATGCTGGCGTCACTCTTCTCGCCGCTCTTTCTTCCCAACCGATGTGTTGTTGTGCCTGTTCTCTGGAATGGATCCGCTAGCTTGAGGGAGACTACAAGACTCTTTGGTGGCGTGATGTCGTAATCTTCATCGAAGTCTTCTCGCACTTTGGGGCACGCGGTGAATGGCGAGCGTTCGACCGAGTCTTCGACGACTTGTGTTGAAGAAGCTTCGGTGATCTCTGTTGCGGCGGCCTCTGTATGAGCGCCCTGGACTTGCCGACCTGCTGTTCCCAGAGCCGGACTGGTAGAGTAGTTGTAGGAGATATTGATCGCAGTACTGGTCTCGACACGGCTGAGTTCATATGGCATGACCGACCATTGCGTGTAGAAGTGAAGTAATGAGCGGTGGACGTGGTGCGCGGAAGTCAGAGGTGAGTTGGTGAATTGGAGAGGTGGAAGATGAAGATAAACTCTGGCCACGCGCCTGCCTTACCTGCTGAGGCACAAATTTGGAAAGAACGAACGGGTACCGTACTTTCACACTCGTCATGTCACATTATCTGTTCATGTTGCTGGTCACTGCCGCTTTCTCGATATCGAAGCTTCCATCGCGGCTCAACTGCTCGGCAGCATCGCCAACATCGCCAATAGTCCTCTCACCTTCCCCGAAAATGGGCTTCAACACCATATCATAGCTGATCCACACTGCCTTGAACGTGACCCCAAAGACGCCGCTGAGCCAGTCCGGTAACACTCCATTCTCGTCTGCGAACAGTTTGGCAATTTGAAACAATAGCAACACCAGCGGTACCCATGTGGCAAGCATCACCGCCTGTCCCGCTCGCTGCCTCATCGTGGTAATGGTGAAGGCGTGAAGCGAATGCAAATATTCTTGATATTCGTAGGGCAGCTCGCACTCCTCTGCGCCATCTGTGAGCAGCTTCAAATAGCGTGCAGATGCTTGCGCGTAGGCTTGGTCGGGCCGTTGAAATCGTCCACCGTCCTTTGGTGGCTCCTCTCCGTCTGGCGCAGCTGGCGCAAACAGTGTATGAGCCTTGAATGGCGCTGTGATTGGGGTGGGCGGGACAGCATCGCGAGGATCATTAGCCAGTGGATAGCAGTCTACCAAAATATCCTGGTATGAAGCTCCGCCTCCTTCTGTCGCTATGATGTGCGCGTAGTCTGCGGCCGTCACCTCATATACTACACCTATCAAGCCCTTGTGCCAGCGGTCTTTCCTGTAGTCTTGACTCCTGCTACTGCCATGGAGGAGAGAGCTCTTCTCGTCCACCCCATCACGTCCAAAAGGCCGATGCTCTGGTTCGCGTATCGCGCTATTCGCAAAGCACGGCTCAATGTACGGAATTCCAGGGAGATCAAAGGTCATCCGCAACGTTGGCACTTGAACATTGATTTGAGCGAGTGGCTTGATACCACGGCCATTGGGATCCTGAAACTTCTCGTATGCCAGATTACTGCCGTAGGCAAGGTATAGTACCGTCTCTTCCTTCGAGTGCTCTTTCACGAAGCGAGCTACATCGTAGGGCCGGTCGTTCACCGTTGCAGCCAGGCGCTGGCTACAAGGCGGAGGTGTTCGGTGGTGGAGAGAAGGTCGAAGCTCTGGGTGAGGTTGACTTCGCGAGGTCCGGTCTAGGATGGCGTGCGAGGATGTGTAAGCTGATATCGCCGCACGATTGGCTGGAGGCTGATCGGTCTCCATCATCCTGGTTAATTGTAGGTTCGAGCTTGTGCTTCAGCTTCTAGCCTGCACGCTATCGATACTCAACTTCGAAGACGAGATACAGAGAGACACTATACAAACCTCCACCGAAAGGACTGTGGAACTGGATAGATCTGACAAAGCGCAATCTGCTTATCATATCAAGGACGTCAAGCGCGTATCCACATAGACGGGTGCTCGGCGCTGCTTCATCCCGATCCCTCCTCGTCCATCATCATTCCTCGCGTGACGAGATCAGAGGCCCATATCCAACGACATGTCAGACAACCTGGAGGCGACGGCAAATGGCAGTCATGGCGCCGACGACGCAGATCTCGCTAAGGTGTGCAACTATAGAAGCGCTAGCAAGAATTCCTGGCGAGCTGATGATGAATGCAGGCATTCCAGGAGCTAGCCAAAGGCGAGAGAACTGCTGCAGCGTTGGAGAATCAGCTCAGCGCGATGGAAGCCAAGATAGAAGCGATGCTTGCGCAGGCAGAAAAGGATCAGAAGGCGATTGAGGAGGCCAAAGAGCAGGCCAAGAAGAGCCAACAAAGTGTGGAAACATCACCAAGTGCACAACCAAAGGGCGACTCTTCGTCCTAAGGCGGCTTCATCCCGACCCTAGACCAAAGTCGCGTATCCATGGGCCACGTACCAACTCTTCCGGATACGACATGCCAAATACAGAGTACGTGCACTGGCAGGAGCATAGCCAGACGCAAACAATCAGGAGCGCTACGACGCGAAAACATCGGGAACGACTGTTGCAGGATTGCCCGATACGATATCGATATTGATCTGTAAGGGGGCTCCTGAAAACATCTCTACAGACCACCTACGGTAGTTGGTTTGACGCTCTCGTTGTGCGCCTCCATCGCGAGGGTCAAATCGAACTTCCCACTGGCATCCTTCTCGACAACACCGATTTCCGTGATGATTCCATCGATGAGTTCTGCAGGTGTCACATCAAAGGACGGGTTCCAGACGTCGATACCTTTGGCAGCAATGCTCACGGTTTCGACTTGGCTGAGATCTAAATCAACACCATCGAATCGTGGCCCTTTCACGAAGGTCATCTCCTTGCCTGGTCGCTCTTCAATCACAATATCAGCACCCGACTTTGTTCCCAGGTCAATCGTTGTTCGTGGCGCTGCGACCAGGAACTTTACGCCGTGGTATTTGGCTGTGATGGCGAGCTGATAGGTGCCAATCTTGTTGGCGGTGTCACCATTTGCAGCAACTCGGTCAGCTCCTACGACAATCGCAGCAATGCGCTGTTCTGGTCCCTTGAGACGCAGCAGCGCAGATGCCATGGAGTCAGTGATCAATGTGGCGGGTATGTTATCGTGGACGAGCTCGAAAGCAGTCAGGCGGGAACCCTGATTGTATGGCCTCGTCTCAGTGCAAAAGGCGTGCTTCAAGGAGCCATTGGCATGTAGCGAACGAATGACACCAAGGGCAGTACCATAGCCTGCGGTCGCGAGAGACCTATCCACAGTGTCAGCAAAAACGCCATAGGCCACACTCGTTCGTGCTTACCCTGTATTGCAGTGCGTTACGACACTCACTTTGCCGCCGCCAGCTGCCTTTGAGATCCACTCGGCACCGTACTTGCCAATACCCTCATTGTCAGCTACATCAGCAACGAGCATTTGAGCAGCAGCATCGCAGTACGCTTGAGAGACAGTAGCCCCACTAGCTCCATCACTTCGGGCAGCAGAAGTCACAATCTTCTTCAGCTTCCCAGCAGCATCAGCAAGGTTGACAGCAGTAGGTCTGCTCGTGACAAGATATTCCAGTTTCTCAACAATAAAAGCCGCCACTTCCTCTGCCTTTTCCGAGCTCGTCATATTGGTGAGCTCAACAGCCAAAGCCAGAGCTGCAACGATGGCTATCGCGGGCGCTCCACGAGTTCGCATGTCTTTGATGGCATGCCATCCATCTTCTGCAGATTTTATCTCGTCGTATTCTTCTTGATGTGGGAGTTTGAGTTGATTGAGAATTTGCAGACTTCCGGGCTGGTAGCGTATCGCTTGGAGAACCATGTTGATTTTTTCTTTTTCTTTTTTTGGGTGGGTTTGCTGCAGGCAGGAGAATTACCGGATGTGTATCAGTAAGAGTGGACGATGTGGTGCCAATATGCACAGTAGGGGGTATTTTTGGTCAAGTGAGGTCAGGTACAGCATAGTATGCAACCAGCGCCAAGCAGTGAAGAGTTCTAGTGCCAGCAGATCACGTCATTGGATGAACTCCCCCGGCACGTGTTTCGGCCCTTTTGTATCTACGACTTACAGAGTCAGTCAGTCAGTACATTCAGTTTCAATAATCGAGAGGCTACATACTGTACCTACTTGCAATATCTACTTCTAAACCTCAACATCTCTCTACAACGATAAAAAATCACCACTAGCAGGACGTAGCAGTAACCTCCAATCTCCTTAAACCTCAAACAATCGAATATATCGCGATCGTACCCTTTGAACTCGACTACCTTACCTTACCGCTTATACCTTAACCAGATATCTCTTAAAGAAAGTATCCTGTAGGAGGTAAACCTATTATTCCCTAAAATAGGTATCTTACTATACCAAACTCTACTATCTCGCTAGAATAATGTATATACGGATTCAAATCTCTAAGGTAAGGTAATCAAGCAAAAGCAACAGCTACAAAGAAAGAAAATCGGGAAGAAAACGAAAAAAATACCTTACCTATTCATATATTTATTAGCTCCCTTACTGCTAAGTACCTGTAGGTAGGAGGTAGTATGTACAGTATACCATCCTACAGTTCTCCAACATGACGTCTATCCCCTCCCAAAAAAACATCCATATAGAGTCTGCATAATACAATACATACATATATACATATGTACGTAGAAATATATATTCCAGATCCACAATCGGTCCATTGCCGATTTTGGGGATGCAAGTGTACAGTACATTATTGTTTTGGTCTCCATATATCCGCCCTCGTCAATCCGGACCCGTGACGGGAAGAGATGTGGGATCTCGGTGAGATTTTTCCTCGCTTTCTCTTTCTCTGTGTGTGTGTTTCCGTGCAGCAGTCTATCATCCAATGCGAGATGATTAGAAACCGCCTGGGATACCTAAGTAGAGATAAATAGATTAGTTTTTTGAGATATTTTTTTTGCCTTTCTTTTCTTTATTTCTCTCTCTCTGTCTTTTTTCTAAAATCAACCCTCCTCTCAATTCCTATCCTCCTCCTCCACAATCACTTCATCGCAGCATCTCATTCTCCTCTTGATTTTATCATTTGTTCGTTTTTTTTTGTTTTCATTGTTCTAAACACTACATACCTACCTACATCCATCCATCCATCATACAAGATGGCATCGACATCTCCTCCCACTCCCATTGACGTAGATTACCTCGTCATCGGGGCAGGAGCCATGGGACTAGCATTTCTCGATGCAGTTTTGACAGCGAATCCCATTGCGACGTTTGCTTTGGTTGATAAGTAAGTAGTTTCTTCTTCTCCTTTCTTTCGTCTTATGCCTTCGTGTTGCTTGTTCCGAGGACATGATTGTAATTGTAATAATTCCTGTTTCCCCAGATACGCCCGCCCAGGAGGCCACTGGACAACCTCGTACCCCTTCGTACACCTCCATCAACCCTCGGCATTCTACGGCGTCAACTCGAAAATTCTCGGACAAAACAAAATCGACCAAGTCGGTTTCAACAAAGGTTTATACGAACTCGCTTCTTCCGATGAAGTGTGCGCGTACTTTCATCAAGTGGTGCAAGAAGTTTTGTTGCCTTCGGGTCGAGTGCAGTATTTTCCCAAGTGTGAGTGGATAGAAGGAAAAAGAGAATTTCGATCGAATTTGACGGGGGAGAGGTTTGAGGTGGGGAGGCAGACGAGGATTGTGGATGCGACGTATATGAAAGTGACGGTGCCGTCGATGCGGCCGCCTCCGTTTCAAGTCGCTGCAGACGTGAAAGTGATGACGCCGAATGAGCTGGTGACGCTGTCTCGGCCGTATTCTCATTATACTGTCGTGGGGTCGGGCAAGACGGGCATCGATACTTGTCTTTGGCTGCTGAGTATGGGAATTCGGCCGCAGCAGATTACTTGGGTCATGCCTCGTGATGCTTGGCTGTACGATCGAGCGCACTGGCAGGATCTCTATGATGATCGAGCAAAGGAAGCGATGAAAAGGCAGGTCGAGTGTACGCTGAGCGCCACCTCGCTCGAAGACTACTTGCTGCGGTTGGAGGCAGCCGGGATGATGCTGCGATTGGACCAGAAGGTCTGGCCCACGTCCTTTCGATGCGCGACGGTCACTCTGGCAGAACTGGACGAGATTCGGAAGATCAAAAATGTCGTTCGTTTAGGTCGGGTCATCTCCATCGACGCCCAGGAAATCGTCTTCCAGCATGGTGTCCAGCCCACGGTGCCCGACACAGTATATATTGACTGCTCCGCCAACGGACTCGAGAAGCGACCAGCGGTACCCATTTTCACTCCTGAAAAAATCACGCTCCAGCCGGTTCGCTTCTGCCAACAAGTCTTCTCGGCCGCATTCATCGGCCATGTCGAGGCTGCCTACGCGGATGAGGCGACCAGAAACGAGCTATGTCGACCCATTTTCCACCCAACTCTGCCAAGCGATATCCCCATTGTCACACTGTCCGATTTTCGAGCGACGCTCCGATGGAGTGTGGAACCAAAGACAGTGGCCTGGCTGGTCAATAGTCGCCTGAACTGGTCGAGCGCATTTGCTCCGCTGGCAACAGATGATCCTGTCGAGTTGGAGCAGGAAAGATTGCAGCTGCAAGCACTACTGCACTCCATGTCGGAGAAGCTCCAGCAGTTCATCAGGGAGGGAGCTCGAGTGATGGCGCATATCTGAAGTGTGTATTTGATTTCTGACTACTGCCGGTGCCACATCGTTGCCGTATCGCCCACGCGAATCGTCATTCGTGAGGTATGAGTGTGTTGCCGCAGAGCCGTGTGCACGCCAAAGAGCACCCTTCCACCAAACCTTCGAGTCTTGGCCAGCGTAATGAAGGGCTCCTGATTCTTTTCACCACTGACTTGATCAATGCACACCATTTGACAGCGACGACAGCCACCCAAAAAATCAAAGCACACGCCGCCTGCTGGTGCTGTAGCAGACCCTCCGATGCTCATACCTCCCCAGTAGTCCTCTGCATACGGTTGCTCCTGTCCCGGTGCCAGCAATGGCGACTCCGCGAGCACAATGTTGGCTCGAAAGACGGCGGGATGTGCTGCTTTGCCGCCTTTGGCTTTGATGACTTCGTTGAGACGATTGAGTGATGAGCGCGAAATGGTCAGTATCGGCGACTCGTTACTCAGTAAGATGGGCGGTGGTCGGTCTCCCACAGTCGTTCCGTCGTGCAAGTGAGCTTTGCTGTGTCGTGTGGAAGAGTTCGCCAGCGTCGCTGCCGGGAAGCGAGCCAATGTACAAGGAACTCCCACGGCTTTGGTGAAAAAGTCTGCAGTGGACGGTGCAGTGTAGATACGTGCAGAGATCTTGTCGCCGCAGACCGTCGTACCGCCCAATTTCATATCGGTCGAAAAAAAGCTTGGATCTTTCGACAGCGGTACCGTAATCTGCTCCGGACTGTCTTGCCGGCAGATTCTCAATACACCACGCTGGAAATCCAACTGAGGCTGTATCAAAGCCATACGAGGATGTGCCTTTTGACTCAACGCAACTCCCGTGCTCTGCTTGACAATGCACCATTCTCGGTCCCATACTAACCCTTCGCGACGAATGTCCCACGATGTACCCATTGGAACCTGCCAAGCTCCACAGGACTTGATGGGATAGACGGCAAGGCTCTCGACATAGAAGCTGGTTTGCGAGCTGCCGCGTAATGTCCAGGATGGGGGCGGAAGAGGAGTGCTCGTTTTGTCGATGAAGAACTCGTCTACGAAATCCACGAATCGCATCACGTCGTTTTTCGTGCTCATGGCACCTAGACTCACTCGGATCACGCCAGTCGGTTTGCCGTTCATAATGTCGTTGTCCCCTCCACAACGAAAGCCCAGGGAAAAGTTCTCGCGCATCTCCCATGCTGCTAGTCCGAGACTCTTCGCAATACCACCGGGATTGCACAGGCCTCCGGTTCGGAGGTGGATGTTCTTGACGGATGCTAGCTTCTCGACTTCGGCATTGCTGACCCAGTGTCCGGAGCTATCTTGCAGATTGAATGCGATTGTAGGGCCCTGGGTACGAGTATCGCCATAGGTAGCTCTCTTGTCCTTGTAGATCTTGCACACGGAGCGTCCATTGGCATGGCGCAAAGCGCATAATCCTTCATATAGCTGTTTGGAAAGTGCCGACGTGTGCTTCACGACATGATCTAGAGATTGATACAACTCGCAATGGGTCTGCATTGCGGACTTCAGTGCGAGGATGCTGTGCACGGGTAATGTGCCGTCCTCGAGCTGTTCATGCAAATTTGCCGACTTTGCAACATGCCATTGCTCCTTCACGCAGACCACCATGTCTACTGTGCCTCCGCCAAAGTACCTTCGTCCCTGAAAAAGATGGGCGCAGTTCTTTTTGACGATCAGCGCACCGAGATCTGGGAATCCAAACATTTTCGCAAAACTGAGTACGGTAAAGTCTGGAGCGGCGTCCACATCGCTCAAACGAAGTGGCGATGTCGCAGCACACGCTGCCGCATCCAACAGGGTATAAGTCTCGCGAGACTTACAGCCGCCCGTCCAGCTCGTAGGGAGTTTCCGCCCATTCATATTAGACTGCGCGGGATATGCAAATAATCTCAAGCCACATCCTCGTGACCCATCAGCTCCCAGCCACGTTTCCACTTCATTGTCCGACTCGAAGCAATGATGTAGCTTAGCAGACTCCCGAACGCCAACAACACTGGTATGGGAGTCGACATGGTATCCGAACCAGAATCCCGCGTCCTGGGCATGAAAGGCGTCCGCAATCAATTTGATCGCAGCTGTCGTATTGGCGGTAAAGACGAGATTAAAGACGTCTGGGTCGGCATCGAACAAGCGCAGGGCCTCGTGTCTGACAGCCTCAATTTCGAGGGTAGATCTCTGACTAGAAGGTGATGCCGAGTGTGGGTTGCCGTACAAGTTCGCCATCATGTCAGCATGAAACCGGTCCATGAGAGATCGACTGTACAACGTTGCGCCAGCATGGTCCAGGTAGAGGGCGTCTTTGAGCATGGGATACTCGGCCATCCGCATCTGCTCAATGTGCGCATTGTATGCGTCTAGATCGATTCTGGAAGGCATTGTCGAGTACGAGTGTCGGGAGAGGGCCTCTCGGACTCCGAAGTCTCTCAGCCTTGGTCGAGCCAGCCAGACTTCCGTTGCAGCTTGCGCGGCTGGAGCGACATTGGCGAGTGCAGTGGAGGACGTTGGTGGTGATGGAGAAGAAGATGATATGGGAAAAGTGTTGATGTGATGGGGAAAAGAGAAATGGATCCACAACGGACCATTCTTCCCGTCGTTTCACTTCGCAGCTCGCCGATGTTGCCGTCACGAGACCTTCTCCCTAGTTTACTCTTTCTTAACCTCGGGGGCGGGAGTCTGCTATCAATTACTCAGATCCCTCCTACTATTTAAAGAGAGATCTTAAGGTACTACAGTACCTATCTGATATATACCCTAGTCTCTCTGTCTATCGAAGCGAGGTAGTCTTTTACGCCCTTGTAAGCTGTATATAGTTACTAAGACTCTTTCATGCATCTCCCTCAACAGTATATACATCCTAAATATTATACCTAGGTACCTGTAGGTAGGTACACATGTATCTACGGACACCGAGCGATATGACAACAAGACTCATTCATTCATCCATGATGCAAAACTTTGGTTCGCAAAAAAGTACAAGAGAACAAAAGAAAACTCCATTCCCCCGGACAGGCTTGAACTGTCAACCTCTCGATAGTCGTGTAACAAGGAATATCATTGCATAACAGTCGAACGCGCTAGCCAATTGCGCCACGGAGGATGGGACGTTTGAAACGCCTGTGGAACACATGGTTGTGATGAGTAAGCGCTCGGGTAGGCTGAATATAGAGTACTTTCCATAATGATCATTGTGCAAAGGGCCATTCCCATCAGAATGTGTCGTCTGCCAGGCACACAAGGAAAGTAAACTTGATATATGGACAGCGCATTTGCTCAAATCTATAAACAATAATACGTACAACTACTCACTCCCAACTTTACGCTCTAGAGTACACGTCCAGCAGTAGCTGCAGTGCTCCGATCCTTGGTCTCAACCTTCTTCAGCCCTTTGCCAAGCTGAATTGCTTGGAGCAACCCACTCCGATCTGGTGCTGCGGCAGGTGCACCGGACGGGAACCCACCCGGCATAGCAGGAGCTGGTGGTGGGCCAGGAGGTGGCGGCGGCGCTCCAGCGCTCGGCATGGGAGGTGGTGGTGGAGGAGGAGGAGCATCGCTACCCGGCATTGGAGGAGCTGGAGGCGGTGAAGCAAAGCGATCGGTTCCGTTCGGCGCAGGCGAACCGCTAGATTTGGGACTGTCCATGGCGGAAAGTGGACGAGGGGGAGCCATGGTGCCAAAGAGAATTGACGCAAGCTGTTTCGCACTACCCCCCTGAGGCTTGTCTTCCTCATCGCTTTCATCATCCGAAGAGTCCAGAACAGACCAGTCGTCTTCATCTGCCGGCTTGGACCGCGATCGCGACGGTGCCGGCGCTGGATCAGGTAGGGCTTGTTGCTGCTTGGCGAGATCTTGCTGTGTCAAGCGGTGGAAAGGATTCGTGTCGACTTTGGGTCCGGCATCAGGTGATGTAATAGCTGGCGTGGATGCTGCAGAGGATTGCTGATTCATGCTGCGGAAGAATGGATTCTTGGATTGTTCCGGCGGGCTTGTGACGGCCGATCCTGGCATGGGTGGTGCAGGTGGTGCAACAGCTGAAGGCAATGGAGGCGCGGGTGGCGGTGAAGCGGGCGTCTCTTGCACCTGGGGCAACTCCATGCTTTGAGCCGGAGTACTTTCGGTCGGCGTGTTTTTGTCCTCATCATCGCTGCTAGAGTCATCGTCCATGTTCTCGAGCTGGAGTCGGAGTTCTCTTTCTCGTTCCTTGGCAGCTTCAATCTCAGCACGTTGAGCTGCAAGGCGAGCTTCCTTCTCTTGAGCTTCTTTCTTCGCGGCCTCACGTCTCTTCTTCTCCTCGGATCTCTTGGCCTTGCCAGCCTTGACTTGCTCCTCCAGTGCGCGGAGTGAAGCAGCAGCCTCCTCTTTCTGTTGCTGCAGCTCGCGTTCTTGGCGTGCCTCTTCATCCCTGCGAAAGTGGTCAGTAGGAATATTCAAAGGTGATTGTGTCGCGTGGACGTACTCCATCTCTCTCGTCTCGGTCGCGAGAGCTGCCTCTTGCTCCTTCAAAGCCTGCTCCTTGATCTGTTGCTCGGCTGCCTTGGCCTCCGACTTGGACTGCGTGTCGCTCTGGAGACTCTCACTACGATTCTTCCGGGGCGCTGGCGGGGGAGGTTTCGATTTGCTGGCAGCTGGCGAAGGTGGTGAGATGGTCTCTCCGCTGATCCTGGCTTGTCGTTCTTGTTCGCGTCTTGCATCTTCCTCTTCCGCACGTCGGAGCTTGTCATCTCGTTCCTTGCGTTCACGTTCTGCGCGTTGAGCAGGACTCTCAGCACTACTCTTCGAAGGTGCCTTCAGACCAAGCGCTGCCAGACGCTCTGCCATACGTTGTTCAGCCTGCTGCTTGATGAACGCGGCACGCTCCTCTGCAGTCTTGTAGCTGGAATAGGAGGAGCCACTAGGTGCAGGAGACGAAGCAGCGGGCTGCCGCGAGGAAGCCGGGCTGTCCGTTCTCGTCGAAGGCGTACTTGTTCGGCCATCATCCTCGACCGGATTCGATATCGATTGTGACTTGTCTTCGTTTCGCACGCGAGCAGCCCTCGAGCTGCGCTGCAAGTCGAAAATGAAGTCTTTGACCTCATCTTCCACACCAAGGCCGTCCTCCCATCTTCTTCGCTCATGCTCGTCGGAAGCGCTTTCGGCGCCCTCCTTTAAGCTAGACTCCAAACCTTTGCTGTATTCCGTGACACTCTCTTCTACGTCGCGAACCATCTTTTCGTTATCTTCGCGCTCCCTGGTAATGCGTGTATTCTCTTCTTCCAATCTCGCAGCAGCGCCTCGACCATCATCAGCAGGCTCCACCTTCTTGCCACTCAGTGCAGCCGATCTTTGCTGCATCATGGCCTTAGCTCGAGCCTTCAGACGATCGCTCTCCGTCACAGCGCCTCCAGGCCCGGTGCCAACAATGGCTGGAGCTGAGCCAGGATTCGCCTTTGCATCTTTGAGCCTAAATAGCTCAAGCTGTGCGTCTGCAATTGCGCGCTCACATCTTCGCACATGGCTCGCAAGCTCCGGCAAACGATCCTGGAGACCACGTAATTGCCTCTGCAAAGCACGCCTCTCAGCGTCCGAGTCGCCAGTCTTGAACGCGCTATTTGGATGGGTATCAAGATCCTCCTGTATCCTGCGAATGCGCCTAAACAATTCTTCTGCCTCTTTCCTGTCCTTGCGATCCAGAGCGTCTTCCTGCTCAGCATTACCCTCATCTTCAAAATCCATTGCATCGAGTAAGACTTGCTTCTCGCGAATCGTCTTCTTCAGCTGATCGATGCTCATCTCATCCGCCGGCACGCTGCTCGTATCGCTCGTCGCTGGTGATGAATCTCTTCCGTGCTGCCCAATCCTACGTCTGGCAGAAGATCGATATCCAACATCATCGTCGTTGTTCTTAAATACTGTCGCATCTTTCCTTGCACCAGCTGCTCCGTTAGCGCGGAACGAGTGACCCTTTAAGTAGCTTACGCCCGTCTTTTGCGGCTGCAAGAACGCGCCAGAAGACTTGCGCTCCTCGGCATCTCGCCCAAGCAAGCCCTTCATGGCATCGATGCTCGAGTTGATGTTTCGCGTGGAAGGAGGGATGAGCTCAGGCGGGAGCTGGTTCGGTACAGGATAGCCATTGAGCGCGCGGTAGATCAAGTGCATAGCAACTGCAAACTCGTCCAGGTTGAGGCGACCTTTGTTGTGCGGATCGCTGAGGGTCCATATGCGCTCCAGATCTTGCTTGTTCAGTCCTGACTGTCCAAAGATCTCCAGTGATTGGGCACCGGAGATGTAGCCCTTCCCAAAGCCATCCCATGCCTTGAACATATCATCATAAATCTTCTTCTCGTCTTTTGTGACTGCCCACGGCACAGTAGCATTTCCACGCAATCCCTGAGCGCTAAATCCTGCTTCTCGTCCCGGCTGCGGCATCATTTGACTCTGAAGAGCTTGTAGATTTGGCAGACCAGCTGCGGGTGCATTCACCAGGCCCCATTGACCTGGTCGGCCTGTAGGCTGAGCGTTCAAAGGCTGTGCCATGGGATATCCAGTCTGCTGGGGAAGCAGTCCAGTTGGTTGTGCAGAAAGTCCCGGAGCAAGATTATTGCCAAAGCCAGTGGGCATTGGGGGCATAGGCGGACGGGGTCCAGTATAACCCTGCGCTTGTGGCATATATCCAGTGGCCTGAGGCTGAAGCTGTTGTTGATATCCTGTAGCCTGGGGAACCTGAAACCCGGTCGGCTGAGCAGTGAGCTGGGTGAGGAGCTGCTGGTTGCTGGGATTCTGCGCTTGTGGTTGCTGAATAGTTGGAGGTTCATTGCGACCTGCGGCGCCCGGAGTATCGTCTACGTTGAAAGAGATGATGTCCACCATACTCGATACTTCGTTCCTCACCTTTTCCGGTAGAGAGCTGGGCAATGCCTTTCCTGTGAGCGCGATGTTGCATAGGTACATGCTCAGAGCGAACTCTGGGAAGAGCAGTTGGCCCGACTTGGTGGTGTCTGACAATGTCCATATCTGCGCCAGGTCGTTTCCATCCAGCTTACTCCTCAGCAAGATATCTCTCGCCTTGTCTCCACTCAATGCCTGGCTCCCTCCTGTCGCGCTCTTGAACAGCTGCTCAAACTTGGCCTGATCCTGCGCAGTGATGAAACTGAGGCGAATGTTGGGAATTTTGCTGCCAGTCTTTGCGGGCACTGGAGGGGGTGCCTGGGAGGACGACGCGCGAAAAGAGTTGGCCATGTCATTGCTCGTCAGCCCCGTCGCTTGTGGACGCATTGGCTGCGGCGGCTGGAATCCGGTCTGTTGAGGCTGTTGGAAGCCGGTCTGCTGCATATTGATCTGTGGTAGCTGCTGCTGTTGCTGCTGCGGCTGCTGTTGCTGCTGCTGAAAGCCAGTCGGTTGTGGCTGTTGGTAGCCTGTCGGCGCCGGAGGGAGTTGCTGAAAGGCGCCATATTGCTGCTGCTGCGGCTGCTGCTGAGGGAAGCCTGTCGCTTGAGGCTGCAGTCCGCCCACTGGATATCCGGTATATTGCTGCTGCAGGGGAGCTTGGCCAAAGGCGCCTTGTGGTGGCTGCTGCTGCTGTTGCTGCTGCGGACCTCCACGAGCACTATTGCCGCCGCCCAGATACATATTGGACGCGGAGAACATGATGAGATGCGCCGGGCTATGCGAGGAGAAGAGACATGCGGGGAGGTGGCGTAGCAAGTGTGGGTGTATGGAGGGAGAGGGAGGGCGAGAGAGAAGAGAGACAAGAGAGAGAGTCAGTTGGTAGAGCCCGCGTATCCGTAGCACTGGGAGGTACAGTAGGAGGTACTAGGAGGTAGAGAGAGGCACATGGACATGTAGGAGAGTCCCGAGTCGAGACGAGCTCGAGGCCTTGGCATTCAATAGCAGCCACGTCATTCACGCTTCAGCCTCGTCCTCCCGAGTTCAGTTGTCTTGGAAAAACTACTCCTCTTACAAGTTCCTCCCATCTCACCCGTCGACTACCACCATCTCACCAACACATATATACCCGCCGTCTATACCGACTGCTCACTCTGCTACAGCGCAGCATCTTGTGACAGACGGCCAAGCCCAGGCTCAACGATAGGGGACATGGCCGCCGCAGCCTGTCTCTGCCCTGAACCTGCGCAGTGAGGACTCGACTGTCTCTGGCTATTCTGTCGCTTCGCCAGTCTGGGTCCGCTGAGAGTGTCATCGACAGCAGCAGACCGCGGAGGGGCTAGCAACGAGCAGTTTTCCCGGCCCATGGACGACGTCTACAGAGCGACTTGCAGACCACGATGTGCCTGCTTATGGCTGGAAGGGTGACATCTCCAATCACAGTAGCAGAACCACCTGATCATCGCCCAAATCTTCGAGGTCATGAACGGGCTCAGAGCCCACTCCCATGCTGGCAGCTGAAATTCTGAATACTCTTCATCAAGAACTCGAGAACCCTCTGCATTTGGCGGTTACAGTACCATCCGCTTCTTGACGAGGCAGTGGTGATCGGAGAGCATTGGAGTATGGCCCATAGACAGCATTCATTGCACCTGGATCTGGCACCCCATGACCATCAGCTTCGATTCTCCCTTTTCGCACCAGGATGGAGAATGCTCGGCCGACGCCGAGGGCGTCTCGCATGATATACCCAGCCTGTCAACGTCGGAAGATATGCGGCTCAAGGGGCAAAGCTTCTCTCGGCTGTATCATGGCTTTCCGTGATACTTTGGTGATGCTGAAACAGCATAGTCTGCTGCTACAGAAGTCGCAACCTGGTACTACTGATGAGTGAAGACTGCATTCCCCCACTTTTCAGGGTCTCGTCAATACGATCGAATGCACCGGGAGCATCAGCTTACAGTGCATGCAGTGTCGGGCTCGCGCTCGACAGCTCAGCTCATGGTGCGGACCAGTTGCATATTTGACGTTCATGGACAAACGACGCCCATGGGACACTCCACAGCAGCAATGATCCGCCACCTGCGGAAGAGTCTGGGTGTTAGTATTTGGCACGCGGGATATCGATCACAAAGCTTCTCACTGTTGAGGTCTGGGAGTTCACTCCGTCATCAAGAACTGTAAACCAAACGTGACGAACATGCAATCAGACTTCAGTCTTTAACCGTATTCCGCTGACACTGAAAGTACATGCTCAGGCGAGGCCCCTGTCCGCACCGTTTTCTGCTTCAGACTCTGACGCACCTGTACTCATGTAGCACATTTTCGTAAGTTGTTATCGGCCAACTCTCTCCTTATTCTCTCTTTTGAACGTCGTCAACGTAGCTCTGCTACTGCTGACAAGTGACAACTCACCTTCTAAGCTGACAGCGAGTTTTGCATGTGCGAAGCAATTCCAGCGCCTCATTCTCCCGAGCGAGTGATGGGGAATATGTAGTTCCATTGCCCACTTCGACCAGCTGCATGTCTCATTTCGATCTCCGTCACTTTTGCTTGCCTCGTGCTGCAAAAATCCCGGGGTAGGTTGGGCAAAGTTTGCGTTCCTGGCTGCAACAATTGTTGGTATCCAGGAACGACCAGTGAACGATGGAGCTGTACTGCCTGTCCATCGTGAATTCCGGGTACCCCAAACATGGGTAAAGTCTAAACACGAATCACAATAAGATGGGATGAGCTCCTGTCGACCTCGAGAGAAATTACAAGTCCTTTGCCGATTCACCTCAAGACTTGCATCCATTCTTCACAGCAGGCTTCCCACGTAGCCACCACATTCACTCTTCAATCATGCGTTCCTTTCTGGTAGTGGCAGCAGTGCTGTCTAACGCACTTACATCCCTTGCTGAAGTTCACTCTCATGCGCACAAGATGGTTCACGCCGCGCGCCAGCGCAGGCATGTAGAAGAGCAGCAGCTCGACGAAGCAGAGAAGCTCAGGAGGAGAGAAATTTACAAACGAAACGAACAAGCCGCGGATGAGGAGATGGCCACCAACTGGATGGATGATGGTTACTCCAACGACGGCTATGCGGACGAATGCCTCAAGCACCACAACTACCATCGCGCGAACCACGAGGTATGTTCCATCATTACTCCCGCCTGGGGGAGTTTATCCTCATCCGCACTTCTCCTAACTCCGCTCCTGTAGGCGCCCGACATCCAATGGGACCCATACCTGGCTTACATTGCTCAACTGGTCGCTTCCTCTTGCGTCTATGGACACAACTTGTGAGTTCCCCCTCCCTCTCGCCAACCTCCAAACCTTCTTCTCACACGTCACTTTCTCTCTCAGAGACTACGATCCTCAAGCCGGCCAAAACATCGCTGGTGGCATGTCAGCCACCAACGTCTCCGGCACCATCACCGAACTCTGGTACAACGCGGAACTCCCCTACTTCAGCGAACTGTACGGTCAACCATATCCCGACATGACCTACTTTGAGCAATACGGCCACATGACTCAAATCGTGTGGAAAGGTACTGCTTCTGTCGGTTGCGCTACGCAGTATTGTCCGTATGGTTTGGCGAATGCTGGAGGTATTGAACCGTATTTCACTGTGTGCAACTATAAAGATCCTGGTGAGTTCCTTTTTTTTGGATGCGCAGTGTGGAAACCCGCACTCCTCCCGGTATGGGTATATTAGATGCTGATGTATTCTCTTTTTTTTTCTTAGGAAATATGTTCGGATATTATGATCAAATGGTCAGCCCGCCACAAGGTGCACCGGACATTCACTGGGACATGTACAAGAAGTAAAGGGGAAGAAGGGGAGAAGGGGTATGGGAGAGAGAAATTGACTCGACCGTCCATTTTTGTCTACCCGGTGGCATGTAGGAACTCTAGGCGACGAGTTCCTCCAAGCTGCGTTTACTTCATTCAGAATCAGAGATTCGCTGGTGTGAGATGATGGAGGAGGAGGATTGGGAGGTTGTTGATGTTGTGAAGCACGTATAGATAATGTAGATTGGATCTCACACGCTTGCGTGTGTACTGTGTTCACCCGGCCTGGAGCTGGATGGGACATATGACCTACCTTACCTACTTACATACCTATACACTAAACATATTCAACAAAGACACTTGCATTTTTCTTTCTCTTTTCCTCGATAAACAACATCAAAGTAGCCTGTTAGTATAGGTATATAGACACATAGATACCTTAGGTACTAATACAAATTTCACGAGCAGTTTGAGAATCTATTCCTACCTCTCTATTCACTAAGTTTTACATACTTTTTCGTTTCCATCTTTCTTCTTTCCCCTTTCTTTTCCTCTCTTATACAAGCAATTTGAACATATAAAGCTTACAAAGCTTAACAACAGTAGTCGGCCGAATTCTGCTTCAAATGCGATCTGATCAGTGTGCCCCATATGTAGTCCAAACGGGCAGGTAGCAATCCTCATATTCGTCTAAAGGGGAAATCCTCTCAGGCTTGCCCTTGCCCCTTTTCCCTTTGATTTTTTCTCTTTGATTTTTGCTGCACAATCTCCTCCTTTTCGCTCTCAGGAGTCTGTTCGAACACCCTTTGGTCAGTACGTCTTCAACACGCTTGCTTGTCGAGAGCCTCTTTGACAGCCTCTTCGTGAGCCTCTTTGTCGCTCTTCAGCAAGGGACTTGACGCCTTGACAACGACTCGCTTCTTTGATGGAGTCTTAGCATTGAGGTTTTCATCGGGAACTTGAGCTTATTGGAAATCTGCGAAGGCGGACCGATGACCTGCCGTAAGATCTCGCTACAAGACATCGTATGCGTCCTTCTGTTGCTGCACGGCGAGGACCTTGTTGGATAACCGGGGAATTGTCTAGGAAACGGGTCAGTACACAACCCCCAAAGCAGCGCCGGATTTCGAGACTTACCCGGCCAACGCGGGCTTACTACCTTCTTTTGATCCGCGAAAACGTTCTTCTCATTCTAACCAGAAGAGTTCCGGAAACAAAAAGGTAGGGCGGTCGAAGGTCTAGTTAAGTTCTCCTTGACGACGTCGCTGTCTCCTCTCGTCTCCACCGACCGGCCACTTCTTCCCCTTTGCCCTTGCCTCTCGTATCCACCAACCAGCTACTTCTCCCCTACCTGTATTCCCCCCTTAATCTAGCTCGTCGCACGCGCTGTATATATAGTCCAATCGTACAATCTCGACTTATATCGAAAGCGCACCGACGCGCTTCAGTGGGGGTGATGGTAGTAGTAGTAGTGATAACCAATAACTGTTATAAAAATGCAATATACAGATTCTAGGACGGTGCTATAATATATTTATCCTGCGCTTGTTTCTTCACGCATACACGGTAGAGTGATTTTTTCGTTGTTGTGACTTTTTTTTGGGCGGTTTCTCTTTTCCGTTAAGATGGGCCAGCCGCCGCGACGATTCCTTAGCCTAGACTGCGATAGAGAGGTCTAGTCACGAAGAGGAGCGATCGTTGGCGGATTTGCCGTTCTGAGTTTCGTTGTCGGAGTCGAGAGCAACCTGTTCAAGTTTGCCTTCCTCGGACATCGTTCTCGGTGGTAGTCTTTCGAAGAACGAAACGAAAGGAATGTACTAGAGCATGGTAATCGGTTGTCGCTGTGGATCAGGTTCAGATCCAGGGCCCAGTCGGTCGTCGGCAAGTACCAGTGCAATGGCGAACCCATTTGCGTCGGCAGCGGCAGCGGCGGGCCAAAAAGATCCACGAGGAGTATCGAATCCTTCTCTGCTTGATTCCTTCTGTTCTTACACTGGCCCTAGAAGAGATGTAGGTAGCACTGTATATATATAGAGAGAGAGGACAAGTACTTGCGCGGAGAGAGAGACGATAAGTACTTGCGTATAGTGAAGTCTCTAGCTTTCATCCACAAGTAATATCCCTCTGCCGCTTTGCTTAGAAACTCCTGACTTCCCAGTTGTCAAATAATATATCCGGTTTCGATACAAGAGTCCAGTCCGAAGAAGAAATCAACTGCCATGATACCTGCTCGAGGGCTTTTCGGATAAGAGAACTTCTTATAGAGACGCTGCTGGTATGTCTACCCAGAGACGCAGGAGGCGATGCACGGCTTGCATTCTCGTGGTCGGTAGGGTAGTCAGGTAGGTCCGCAATGACAAACCTCCCATCCTTCTTCTGAAACTTCATGACCGTTTGGTCTAGGCCTCTGCTCATTTCTCAAGCGGATTCGAACTGTAGTCGGATGCGAGGAAGGAAAGAGATATATAGCGAAGAAGAATGTTCGCGCTGGGTGGTCATCGTCGTCTTGTACTGCAAAGTTGTGTCGGGTAATTTACTGTCGACTGTGTGTTCAGTGGATGGACGTCGTTGGGTAGATGGGTACTCTATAGTAGTTGTTGTGGAAGCTCCAGATTAGAAAATATAAAACCTCTTTTAGATTGAAGGAACGGAGTAGTCGACTATATAGATTATTGTCGTTGATAAGATTGTATAGTACGCCTAGTAAGAGGAGTCTAGAGAGAATATTAGCCTATCTAGACACCCGGGTAATAGCATAGTCGATAGCAACTACCTTAGGATAGAGAGAGGTTATGCTTACCTGAGTAGTATCTGCACGATACTCTACCTCCTAGAGAAACAAGGTAGTAATAGTCAGGTAAGAATCAACCTCTCTCAAGTCTAGCAGACGCCTAGAGATATATACCTCAATAGTGTTTGCTTGCAAACGTTTGTTATTGCTTGTTTGCTTGCTTGCTTTTATTACGACGACGAAGAGGTTCGATTCTTTCTGCTTAGGTAAGGACTGTAAAGTCAGGTGAAGTGAGGTGAGGTGAAGTTAGGTAAGAGTAAAACAGACAAAAGACACGCCCTTTTTTCAAATCTTACCTCAGCGCACCTAGAGAACGAATACTTCCCATTGGCTTCACCAGTGCGGAGACTAGTAAATGTTCGCGGAAGATATTATCGAGCCCTTGATTTTCGATTTGATTTGCGCAACTCTAATAATTGTGTCCAATGGTCCAGACTCTTGGACTTTGAGAGTCTGAATCCCATCGAGTAAAATGCCGGCATACACACGCAGACAACCCGAATTTTCTTACATTTGTGGCAGCTCTCGAACGCCGAAACGCCTCGCTGAACTCATCAAAAGGCAACTCATATGAATCTCAAAAACACTCATGTTGCTCTTTTTTTTTGTCTACTACCCATACAACATCAATGGTACCTCGCAGCCAACCCCGAGAACGCATCGGGACTATGCCTTCCACCTCCAGAAAAGCCCTGAAAGTCCTTGCTCTCATTACTCACATGCCGAGACACCTGTTGTTGTTGTTGTTGCTGCTGCTGCTGTTGTTGTCCAAATGGATTCCCACTCATCAGGTTTGGCGGCATGGTGGCACTCCGTTGCGGCACCTGCTGCGCTTGCTCGTACATCTGTTGAGGGGCGGTGCCATCCTCCGGCAGCGTCTGGAGTGGTCGTTGTGGGGCCATTTGAGGATAGTTGTACAAGGCCAGTATTGACGATTTGTCCTGGCGAATGGACTGCTGGAACTGAGCATTAACGAGAGGCTGAGAATTGTATTGCCATGGCTGCTGTTGTTGCTGCGGCTGCTGGAATTGCTGCTGCTCTTGTGATGCGTATGGCTGTTGTGATGTCTGCTGAGCGAGCTTCTGCGCCCATGGATTTGAGGCTACAGGCTGCGTGTATGGTGGCTGCTGCTGCTGCTGTTGTGGTGGTGGTGGTGCTTGTTGTTGTTGCGTTTGACCAAAAAAGTCCGTTTGCTGAGTGTACATTGGTTGTGGTGATGCCATTGGTGCCTGCTGAGTAAAGCTCTGATTTTGCCAAGGGTTTGTTGCTTGTGGTACATAGGACTGCTGCTGCGAAGCTTGTTGTGCCCATGGGTCGCTTGCCACGGAGTTTTGTGGCGGTGCCGATTGCTGCATGAATGGGTTGTTCGCGAGTTGAGAATTTGGTTGTGAGACGGTTTGTACCTGCTGCGCAGGGGGCGGATATGTAGCTGATGGATGGTCCCAGGGAGATGGGACCTGCTGGTTTTGTTGTTGTTGTTGTTGTTGATGTTGTTGTTGTTGCGGTAAGAAAGGATTGTTGGCCTGCAGCATGTTTCCGTTCTGTTGATAGGCCACTTCATTGTTACCAGTATGCCAAGGCGAATTGGCTTGTGTCGCAGGCTGTGAGAGAGAGATGTTCTGAAAGCTGTTCGCAAGCTGTGTTTGAGGCTGCACAGCTGATTGTGGCTGCAAGAACGGATTCCATGATGTGGACGCTGTCGTCGATTGTGGAGGCACCGAAGACGCCCGCGCCGGCACGGCTGGTGGTGGTTTTGTAGACTCGCGCACCTCCCATGGATTGCTGAACTTCTTCTCAATGGTGATGCCATTAGCACCAGAACTACCCATTGACACGGGCGTCAGGGCTCTGGGGCCTGGCGTCACTGATCTTGAGATGGGTTTTGTGCCCTCGCCCAGCCTCACCAACGTTTCCACAGCCTTGTCCACGTTCCCACCCGTGCTCTTAAGGATCTCAGTGTTCCTAGACGTGTCGGGGAAGCCCATGTCGCGTATATGAGCCAGCTTCGCGTTGAAAACGTTGTCCATAGTCGTGATCTTCATCCCAAACAACTGACTCGGCTTGTTGTGGTTGCTGCTGCTACTGTTCCTCTTCGGGCTGGGGAACTCATTTCGATCTCCACTGTATGCGGGCGAAAGGGGTGGTGTGAAGCGATCCTGCCTCTGCTTGGACACAGCTGCACTCGAGGATCGCAGAGAAAAACCAAATCGCTTCGCAGGCTTTGGCGGCAGCTCAGGGGGCTCCTCACTCCACGACCCGAGATCTGTGCCTGTACTCCCGGTATTCTGTCTCGCAGCAGGATGTCCCCGTCCCGTGCTCAGCGTCTGAGAATCATACTTCTGCCGTATAAATCTCTCAATAGCCGAGTCCACCTCGTCAACGTCAATCGGCATCTCCGCCCTCACGTTCTGAGGGTTGTAGGTCTTGTTACTGGCGACGTTGCCCACCTTTTTCATGTTCTCGACTTGCTCGGCACTCCAGGTGTCCATTGACAACGATTTGACCTTGGAGACGTGCGTGCCCAGTTTTCGGTGCAGTGCAGCACATCGCATGCACAAGAAGATGCCCAAGTTCCAGCTGGCCCAGCCAGGGTTCTTCGCAGCGCAGTCGGCGCATTTGTCGTTGCCAGGTACGTTGCGCAGCAGGTCCTGGAGCATGCGCTCATTGCGAGCCTGCTGGCGTTTCGATATTGCGCTCGTCATTCTGTCTGTGTCTGTAGCACTCGTTCGCTCGTGGTCTCGTGCTCGGGCGAAGCGAGGCGAGGCGAGGCGAGGCGGGTGCGACTGCAAGCGTGGGCGGAGCAGCAAGGGGAGAAGGCTGTAGGGGAGCAGCAACGGCAGCGTTTCAAGGAGGAGGACTCGGCGGCAGAGATGCGATGAGATGCTCAAGGCGCCAACGCATGTGGACAGGTGGACAGCAGCAGCAGAAGAAGAAGAACACGACGTCGGACGGTGTCTTGTCTAGGGTGAGGGTAAGAGTGAGAGGGTGTGGCGTTCATGAGATTGGACGCTCAGTCAGCGTGGTTCATGGTGGTAGAAGTACCTCAGTTAGCGGGCTAGCCCAAGGTGGAGGCCACTGTACGGAGGCCCAAAGTGGCCAGCCGCTATACGTTACCCCCGGCTTTCTTTGGCTTCATTTTCCTACTACTTCTACCCTTCTACCTACTATACACTACTACATACACTCGCTATATGCTCGCCGCCTACCTCGCCGTTACCGCCGCATCCGTCGCTACCTACTAATATACCTCGGACGTACGTACCTAGAGGACTACGTACTATAGACTATAATAACTATTAGGTCTATATCGCTACGTAGCTCGAAGAAGGTATCTTGTAGAGGTAGATTATTGCTAATCTATACTAGTAGTTCGGTATTTCTATCGTAGAGTATATATTCGAACGATAGCTATAAGCCTAGAGCCTTACTATAGCTACTATACCTTTATATCGTCGATAGTACGATATCTTCGACGAAGACGATAGCTTGCGTATACGTATAGCGTATACCTATACTAAGCTACAACTTATAGATAGCGAGGCAGTTGCGATTCTAGCGATTAATAGCTAGAAAATTAGTATAAGGACATATCGGCGTATACGTAAAGAGCTAGGTTTTAGGAAGTAGATACTAGTAGTAGAGCAAGTATATACTAAAGAGTTAATCGCTATAGTACTCGTAGACGAGCTCGCTAAGTTAGAGGTAGAGGTATATAGTAGGAGGAACCTATATATATATCTACGTTTAGAGATAAATATAATTAGGAGGTATATAGGCGCTCGCTGTCTACTCGCTTACTAAATCGCTATCGGCTGACCTACTTAGGGACCGTATCTACTATATTATTAAATTGCTTAATCCCGATAGTATTTAGCGGCGATACGAGAAGGCTAGAGAGTACTATAGTACTATTATTATACCTAGGCCGTTAGCGGCAATCTCGATAGATACGTACTATAAGTTCGAGTACTAGGGTATTTAGATATATAGCGTAATCGACGTATACGCGCGGTATATAGAGTAGATTTATATTAGAATTACTAGTAGATCGGCCGTTTCGGTACTCGCTTAGTATATCGCGACCCTACGCTATAGTAGATACGCGCCGGTAATTATACGCTCGGATCGTAGAGGTAAGACTATTCTAGCCGCCGACGCGTACTATATAGTACGTTATGCCGCTTACGACGTCGAGAATACTAAGTGTAGTACTCGTAGCGAGGCCTCGTTACTACTACTACGATTCGGTAAATACTTCCGATATAGTATAAGTAAGATAAATCAGCGTATCGAGGTATAGTAGAATTAGTAGGCTAAGGCTATAATGGTTCTATAAGCGTAAGGGTATACGTAACAGAGGTCTAAGGTATAAAAGGTATAAACAATGTACGGCTTGCTAACTAAGGCATAATAACTCTGCCCTTCCTTCCTAGAGGAGGGCCCTCGCTATATATACAAGCCATTCTATTGTCTACTCCTCGCTACCGGCACCGCCTCCTCTTAGGCAGCAGCCGATAACCGGTTCCCTTAGGAACCCTCTTGATTTAGAACGTCTCCGATCGGTAGGGCATCCCTTCTATACCGGATCGCCGGGGGTCCGCGAGGGCTTCCCGTCCCGCGCGGCACGCTCCGCCCGCCTCGCCGGGGGTTCGCTAGGGCTTCTCTGCCCCAGCGTGTTACAAAGGCGCTAAATAGATAGCGTACGTACTTCTATAGCTTAAATACTACGAACGAATTTGACCTAGAGTTATTAGGCAATCGTATTGCCTTCCTAGCGATCTATACTACGATTCTCCGCGAGATAGTAGTAGGATTCGTAAAGGTATAGAATTACTATAAGATTCGGAGGCAAAACAATCGGCTATACTCGATTCTAGGTATTCCTTATATATTACGGCATTATCTAGAGCTCTATAGCGCTACGTAGCAAGGTATACGTATACCTAAGGAGGTTCTATAGACGCTCGAAGGGATACTAGAAGGGTTTAGTATATATACTCGCTCTACTCGTAGCCTACTCGCTAACTTAATACTATAGACCTCGAGGCCTTTCTTCCTACCGATACCTACAAATAGTACAAAGCGAGCCTCCTCCCCTATAGCTTCGCGCTACTTATTAGTAGTACGTCGTATAACGTAGCGACCGGCAACCGTACGTACCGTACGGCCTATATTACCCTACGTAGCCTAGTAAATAACTATATTAGCTTAGAACAATAGCTAATACTCGGTATACTTCTAAAGCTATTAGTAGCAAGAGATTAGATACCTACGCGCTAGACGGCGGAAGTATTTAGAGACACTAGTAACGTACTAATCGCGAACGAGGATTTAGGTATTATCGAGTTCTATAATAATCCGTAGGCTATAGAGCTAGTATCTCCCCTACAAGTATAACTACGAGCTAAGCAAGCTAAGCCCTCTAGGGTATATATTACGGTACGTACTATTATTTGAATTCTTTTCTATATATATATATATATACTCTCTCTCTCTACCGACCTATTTACTATAGCCGACAACCTACCTAGCCTCTAGGCTAAATACTATCTAGTCGTACCGTCGATTAGATATAGCGTTATATTCTATAAGTTCAATTTCTACTCTTAGTGCTATTAGCTTAATCTAAACCCTCTATATACTAAATTCGTACGCGAACTATTACGCGTACTAGAAAGTAGCCGTCCGGTTACTAGATAGCCGCCGCCGCCGCCGCCGCCGTAGCCGTAGCCGTCGCGATCGTAGTAGCTAGTACCTACGTACTAAGTAAAGGTTAGTCGCCTTGAAACGATCTATATAGCGAGTACTTAGCGACGGTTAATAGGGTTTCTAGACATTCGCGAGGATTCCGTAGTACGCGAATACCGTATATAACGAAGCTAATATCGCGTTTAGAGCTAAGGCCGCTATAGCCGTCGTACCGTACGCCGGTACGCTACCGCCGACTATACGTTAGTAGTATACGCCGGCCCTACCGTCGTCGCGGTTAAATCCGCTGCCTCTAGCTATCTCGTTTAGTATTAGCGTTATAGTATATATATAGCGAGTTACTACGCGAGCTCTAAAGAATAACAATAAGTAGAAGTACTACGATCCGGTTGCCTATACTAACCTCTATAACTATTAGACGGATCGCGATCGAGTAGCTAATAGTACTAAGAACTTCCCTATATATAGCGAGTTAGCAGAGATTCTAGTAGAGATTTAGTAGCGAGTAAGGCTAGCCTACCTAGTATCGTCCTCCTTATCCTCCTCCTTATCCTCCGAGGTATCCTCGGTATCGGTATCCTCGTCTATAGCGTCGCTGTTATTTATCGTAGATATATTCCTACCGAGCGCTACTAAAGCAGTAGATACGAGGAATCTACGGTATATTAGTAACGTACGAGTTTACGTACTATATAATAACGTACTATAAGAGTAGGGTGTATATAGTAATATATAGAGCGTCCTTCCTACCGTATAGGAAAAGGAACAAACTAATTCTTGTCCTTCGGAAAGGAGAGAGCAGTATCGTATAATATACCCCTACGCTAAGCATACGTAGGCGCTACGCCGCGCGGGCGGTCGCCCGATAGCCGATCGCCCGACGACTCGGATTGTACTGCTTCTATAGCCTGTCCTACCTTAGGCTAACGTTCCTTAGGCTTAAATACCTAACCGCCCCCTAGGGCTATATACCTCTAGGCCTAGCTGTTACAATTATCTCCTCTCCCTAATAGAGCTGTCCCTAGCGATATATTCTACGTATCGTATACGGAGCGTATATAGAGCGTATACGGAGATACTCGTATTCTATATAGAGGCTAGTCGTTATACTAGGAATCCTAGTAGTTACCCTAGGGCATTCTATATAGTAGAATATAAGGAAGTCAATAGAACGTAGAATACGATAGAAGAAAGCCTGCCTAGCAATAGGTAGTAGCAACGAGTAAGTATATTTCGTCCTCTACGCTACGTCTTTTTCTTCGTTCCTTAGTTCTTCCCTAAACTATTTTTTTTTGGAAAAAACTCTAAGCTCTTTGTACTATCCTCGTAACCTATATATACGAGATATACCTCCGAAGCGCGCGATAGCCGTAAAGGCGCCCGAGAAGCCCGTCCTAGAGCGCGATCTACGTCGCGGTCGCGCCGCGGCTAGAGCGTACAATATTTGCCTCCGCTGTATAGAGTATATATTCAAGGGTACGTCGAGACCTACGCGTTATATACGCCTTACCTACGTTTCTTCGCTAACCTAATCTAATAGTAGTAGACGCGAACGGCGTCGCCGAGCGCGCCTATAACGGCGTAATAGCTTCTAGCTATAAGAAGAAGTACTAAAGGTACGTAAAAGGGCGCTACGCGTATAAACGCGTAGTAGACCTAGACCTACTTCGGTAGGCGCGCTACCTACGCGTCCTATACGCGGCGCTTCGTTCTTATATAGCCGGTATACGCTCGGTATAGATAATACAGCGCTTATAGCGGCTAGGGGATAAGATTCTAGAGAGTAAGAAGGTGCTTGCCTCTAATAAGGGCAAGGCCGTCGGCGTCTACGAGACGCCGAAGAAGGGTAGTAGTAGTAGTATAGCTAGCGCGCCGGCGTCGAGCGCCCTAGCCGTAGCCGACTACCTAGAGATAGCGAAAGCTATCTCTACCCTTTAGGGCATTTTTAAGCTATAGTACGAGGTAAGTTCTATCGCTTCGTACCCTACTCGTAGGCGTCGCTAACGTCTGTTATAGATAGCTCGCTTAGCCGGCGCTACCGGTACTGCCTTAGATAGCGCGGTAGCGACCGCGTATCCCGATTATAGTAGCTAGGAGCCGTACCTATCGGACGGCGAGAAGGAGATAAGCCTACCTAGCGATAGCGACGACGACAACGACGACGACAACGACGCCGGTAACGGTACCGGTAACGGTACCGGTAACGGTACCGGTCCTACCGTTCCTCCTATTAGCCCTACTCCTACT